CTGCTAGTAGCAAATGATCACATACGGTAGCTCGATCCGACCATGCTGCAGGTCACAAGTGAATAACTTACTTGTTAAGTGTTGATATTGGTGATTATTATTTAGTAGTGATTACAATAACGCACGAAAAATAAATTCGTTGAATTGTTATAAAATGCAAGTAAAATTCAACTTAGTTTCCCTGTAAGCGAATGATTTCAGTCACATGTAAACAGCCGATACGATATCCGCCATGTTTTTGAATGCTCACGGATAGGTCAAGTCGCTAATTAACCAATCAGAATGCTGGATGGTGCCCACGTGTCTAAATTACATAGCTCATTTAAATATGTTAATGACAGTTCAGCGACCTCATGGTGAACGCAACACGGAAGAGATTTACCGATAATGTAGTGCGATCTTTTGCCTTTGATTTCCATGGGAAAACGGCATGATTTTTTTTTTTAAATCAAGAAATTATTTGTTTTCGAAAGATAAATTATTCTTCAATGCTCAGTTTAACATTTTTACGATGATAAAAGCTCATTGTCTAAAACTTACGAAACACAGACGTATTCAGAAAGAGTATTGACAGAGGTCGCTGCCGGAACAACAGTTTCATTGCCTGTCTGACATCTTATCACCACTGAACAATAAATAGGTGTGAATATTTTTAGGCATGTTGTCGAAACAAATGAATAGGATTAGGAACAATGTACCAGCTGGTTGAAACAATGAAGTCAGTCACGGTCTTGTTGAATTGGGAGTGCGGTTAGTAATAGGTTCTTTTCAAGTTTTCAATTTTTGTTAAGAACTCTTACCCGAAGCCGGAATTGGGGGTGCGGTTACTATTACGTATGCGGTTTATATTAGGACTTTAACGGTACCCTGTCTTTATGTTCCCAAGTAAGATTCACTTATAAAAAATCGCTATGACTGCCCTGTCTTAATGTCCCCTGGTAACATTAACTGATAGAAAATCACTATGACTACCCTGTCTTAATGTCCCCAGGTAACTGTATTGTGTATGCAATGATTTCCATGCATTTCAAACCTTGCATTTTTATTGTGTCCTCTACATTCATGTCATTTCATTGAAAAACTATTACTTCAAACTTGGTAAAAGAAAACACATGATAGGACCCAGAACATATTTTGTAATACTACCTTTGTACAATAAAAATATTTCATTTGTTCTATGTCAGACCCATGTTGTCCTGAGACAAGCTTGGTTGGAGAACATTAAACCAGTGTTGATATTGAACAAAATAGATCGTCTCATAACAGAATTGAAATACACACCAATGGAAGCACATTTACATCTACAACAAATATTGGAACAAATTAATGCCGTGACTGGTACCTTATTTGCCACTGATGTTATGGAAAAAACAGCTAATGTAAGTCTTTTTTTATCTTACTGAAACTTAATTAAAATTGTTTGTACATTTATATCAGTAAGTAATTGATTGTTGTTGGTATTGAAAAAATAAAAATACCACACTATGTCCCAATTCCATGTGTGCTCATTTCTATCTCAGACATGCCTGAGTGATCACATTCAAACTTCACACATACATAATACATCTTGGCATACATATGTACATTTATTCGTTTCATGTTCTGCCATCATTCAGCCAATTTTATGCTTCAAAATTCATCAATATCAAGCATTTCTGCCATTTCCTACCCAGATCTTGGACAGTTTTCTTTACTATTTTAACAGAGACTTGTTAATTTTGAATTAGGACAGTTTATATAACTATCACAATGTATGCATTTTATGTAACTATAGCAATGTATACATTTTATGTAACTATAGCGATGTATATGTTTTATGTAACTAGCGATGTATGAGAATAGGACTTAACAGTTTGAAATGCGGTAAATGTTGTGATGAACCAACAAATGGTGATCTTGTAAACATAAACCCTAATGCTAATAAGGACATTTCCTTTTGTTAATCATTTCATGCATCTTTTTAAATAAATGGCATTTAAAAAAATATCTGGTTGGCTAACAAATTTTATATAGCATGGCACTTCTTTGTGGTGCACTTCTATCCACATTTCAATACTTTGCACATGCACATTTAATTATCAGCAATATTTAATTTTGTTCTGAATGATGTATGTTTTAAGTCTGAGTGATAAATAACACAGTTTGAAACAGAATGATGTGATTGAAAGTGATACTTATCTTCTTGTAGTGAATCAGCATTGGGTGATGATATTACATAGTTTGTCAGAGAGTCAGAGTACATGTATGTTGTTAAATACAGTCGTGACATGCCAAAGAAAAAAGTAGTGGAATAAAATTGTGCATACACAGTCTGCGTAAAATACAATAATGAGAATTATATGTTTTGTATATACATGTATGGCCAGAGAATCTATAATGAAATTGCTATGAGATATTCATGCTAATGGCAACTAGGAAAAAAAAAGTTTGAGAGCTGCTTTAATTGTCTGATAAATAGCAATCATATTGAAATTTACATATATTTTTCAGAAATCCAATGGTGACAAGATAAGTACTGAAGATTCATTGCCTTCAGAAGAACAAATTTATGACTGGAGTACTGGTTTGGAAGAAAGCGATGATTCCAATTTATATTTCTCGCCAGATGAAGGCAATGTTGTCTTTGCCAGTGCCATAGATGGATGGGGATTCAGGTAGTGTCTTTACTCCTCTATCTCTCTATAGATTCTCTGCCAGTGCCATAGATGGATGGAGATTCAGATTGTGTCTTTACTCATCTACCTCTCTATGGATTCTTTGCCAGTGTCATAGATGGATGGGGATTCAGGTAGTGTCTTTATTTATCTATCTCTCTATGGATTCTTTGCCAGTGTCATAGATGGATGGGGATTCAGGTAGTGTCTTTACTCATCTATCTCTCTATAGATACTTTGCCAGTGTCATAGATGGATGGGAATTCAGTTAGTGTCTTTACTCATCTATCTCTCTATGGATTCTTTGCCAGTGTCATAGATGGATGGGGATTCAGGTAGTGTCTTTACTCATCTATCTCTCTATAGATTCTTTGCCAGTGTCACAGATGGATGGGGATTCAGGTAGTGTCTTTACTCATCTATCTCTCTATGGATTCTTTGCCAGTGTCATAGATAGATGGGAATTCAGTTAGTGTCTTTACTCATCTATCTCTCTATAGATTCTTTGTCAGTGTCATAGATGGATAGGGATTCAGGTAGTGTCTTTACTCATCTATCTTTCTATGGATTGGGTTTCAGGTCGTGTCTTTACTCATCTATCTCTCTATAGATACTTTGCCAGTGTCACAGATGGATGGGGATTCAGGTAGTGTCTTTACTCATCTATCTCTCTATGGATACTTTGGTAGTTTCATAGATGGATGGGGATTCAGGTAGTGTCTTTACTCATCTATCTCTCTATGGATTCTTTGCCAGTGTCACAGATGAATTGGGATTCAGGTAGTGTCTTTACTCATCTATCTCTCTATGGATTCAATGCCAGTGTCATAGATGGATGGGGATTCAGGTAGTGTCTTTACTCATCTATCACTTTATGGATTCTTTGCCAGTGTCACAGATGAATTGAGATTCAGGTAGTGTCTTTACTCATCTATTTCTCCATAGATTCTTTGCCAGTGTCATAGATAGATGGGGATTCAGTTAGTGTCTTTACTCATCTATCTCTCCATAGATTCTTTGCCAGTGTCATAGATGGATGGGAATTCAGTTAGTGTCTTTACTCATCTATCTCTCTATGGATTCTTTGCCAGTGTCATAGATGGATGGGGATTCAGGTAGTGTCTTTACTCATCTATCTCTCTATGGATTCTTTGCCAGTGTCATAGATGGATAGGGATTCAGGTAGTGTCTTTACTCATCTATCTTTCTATGGATTGGG